ATTTTTTAAAAAAAAGGATGAAGGGGAGTTAAGAAAGAAAAAAGCCACAGTAATCTGCAATTTGAAATCATTTTTTGCAAAATGCCCCACGTTTATTATGAGCTCATGTTCTCAAGTCCTTTCTCTAAGGGCCAGTGCAAGCCTTACTCCTCAAACCCTCTTCACTGTATCAAGTACTTAATCCTTACACTACTCTGTTCAGCACTTCTTCAGTGCTTAGCCAACAGGAGGAAACATGGTCATTATATAGGAGGAGCAGCAAAACTGCCCCTCAGAGCAATTGAGGAGAACTAGGAGGTGGGCACAAGACTCACAGAGCATGGCCACAGGAGTCAGGGTGGGATGCCAGAGAATGAAATCCCAATCCCTACCAGTGGGAAATCACCTTCTCTGCAGCTCCAGAAGGCAAAACTGCTTTTGCAGTTGCTGAGGCAATAGCTAATCAGCTTATCTTTCCAAGCCCTAGGTATGCTAAGAATTTAAAACTTTGTACCTGGTGAGATCTTCAGAAACTGTCCGCTCTCAGTTGAATAACACAAAGTTTAAATCAAGTTTTAACCCTCTAATGAAAAGAGAATTACAAGTAATTTCCACTGTGGAGTGGAACAAGAAAAGGATCCAGGTGGAGCGAAGAGTCCCTTCTCAATGAAACAGATTAAAGACAGGCCAATAGAATTTTCTTAACTCTATCTTCTTTAAAGACATTACAGGCCAATCCTTTCTGAGGTTTCATCCCATTATTGCAACAAATGACTCACAAGGTACACAACACACGTGGCTTAGCGATGCTATGTCATTCTAATATGTGTATTTTTCTATGACAATTGGTGATTGCAACTTTCATGCATATTTCAGTATTTCAGTATTTAGTGGTATTAAAACACTCCTGGGAGTGTATTCAAATATTACAGCCAGTTTTTCCTCCACCTTCACAATTGCCTGGGTGAAGGGATAAGACATTTGTGGGCAGGAAATTGGTCCATTTCTTCTTTTTTGACAATGTGTACCAACTGTTATTGTGCCACATTTGTATAGTGTTTTAAAACTTAGACTCCTATATAGCTCCTTACTTTTCCCAAATTATTTTTTATGGAAAGCCTCAAAAACAAGACATTTCATGCAAATCCATACCATTGCCTGACCAAAGGTAGAAGAGCCACCAGCTAGATTAGAATGACTAATAAACTAGTTCCTCAGTTTAGCATGCTGTAACTATAATCACTTCTATTTTAATCTACTGCCTCCTCTCCCTTCTATAGCAAAATGCAAATAACATAATGAATATTCTGACCTATTAACAGCCTAGTTTGTGCAACAGAATAAATAACATTTTTCCTTGATCCTGTTTGAGATGGACTCCTAACCAAAGTGTTTTCATTCCAGAGGACAACATGGAGGATGAGAGAGGTGGTTACCAGCAGTTCCGGGATGAGTTAAAGGTAAACGGATCTGTGGTACTGTGGATGGGTTGATTGACTCTTCAGCCTCATTCATTCCCAAGACCCTGCAGAGTGGGAGAAAAGCTTCTCCCTCCAGGTCATTTGCTCCCACGGTGTCATAGTCAAACACTGTAAGCAGCAGACATGCTCCATCTTGTCGACATTTTTCTGGAGGAACCAAACTATAAGGAAAACCAATAAGGAGATGGTGAAGTCATGATACCTCAGGCATTCAAATAGAAACAGCACAACTCAACATATTCCCCTCCTCCCCCAAAATGGGGAAGAGAGCTCAACTTTATAGGCAGTTTTCTGCACAATACAGCAGGATACCTAAAACATGTCAACCAAAGGAAAAGGAGGAGCATATTAAATTCGTGCTCTTGGTATGATAGCTGTGTAATCTTGGAAGACAACTATAGGACAAGAAAGAAGAGTAGCTTCATACATACAACTCAAAGTCTTCATCAAACAGAGGGTGAAGATTGTTCTTTATGCACTCAGTTGTCCGTGTCGCAATCTCAGGGAACTCATGCTGTGGCTCCAGAGTGAGTTGGATGAAGGGGTCACTTAAGCCTACATGGGGAGGTTAGAAGAAGCAACAAAATAACCACGCAAAACCTACTCATCTATCTTGAACATCTGTTTCTCAAAAAAGCCTCCAAAGTAAGCCACATTCACTTAGTACTCAACCTATTGTAATATACAAGGTTAGGACACAGTAAAGTTCTTATCTTGTTCAGTTTTACTGGAATGTTTGTAAATTGAGGTCAAGTATCACTTTCTTCTCCAATCCTTTCCAATAGGATGGTTAGGATGGAATGGATGAAGCCGCTGTTTTCTGAGTCATTATATCGGTCCATCTTGTCTGGTGCTATGTGGATGCACCACAGTCACATCTAAATCAAGAGTTGGGGAAGTTCTTTCCCACCCCTGTTAACTAACAAAGACAGTCCTAAGCGTTACATGTATTCCAGGCCTTCACAACCTGGTGCTCCCCAAATGTTGGGAACTTCAGCTTCCTATCTTCTACCATGCCAGCAGAAAATTATCCTCATTGCAGCGTCAAGACATTTGGATGACGTGAGGTTGGGGAAAGTGATTTTCCTATGATTTTCAGTGGCTAAGATTACCAGGAATGGAAAAGTGTTTAACTTTCCCTTTTAGAACTTTCCTTGATTTTCTCCAATATTGATCTAATTGGGAAAGGCAAAATACTGCATTTGCACTGACAATGGCTAACATGTCCCAGCTCCTGGCTGGCTGGAATGCTGCAGCAGAGGAGAAAATCTACAGTATGTGCCTGCGCAGAGAAATATACTTGACACTGACAAGGGACCTTGCAATAATATGCCAACCTCCACCACACACACACCCTTGTAATGAGGAGCTTTTTATTATTTCTAAATAAGTATATGCTGTACTGCTAAACTGTGATCATTCTTAAATGCAACTTTGTATTTTCAAACAAACGGAACCTCCTCTATTCCTTCACTCATTGTTTTTTTTTTTTTTCAATCCCGGAATCCTGAAACCCAAAGTGTGATTCATGGCAGGTTTTTAAAAAGACAAGCAAAGCCATGATCCAGAACTGCACTATTTGCAGAGAGATTCAGCAGCACTCAGTCAACATCCTCCTCTTCTGGAGAGCTGAATGAAATGCAGGCAATCTGTTCCTTTCTCTTCTTTTAAGAAAGGAACATGACTTTTGACATCTCGGCATGCTTCCCATAACTGTGTGCAATGACACCCTTAGGATACAAACACATCCACACACATATATACAAACACAGATTTAATTAATGGTGATTGTTACAAGGCTATATAGCAGAAAATTTTTGTTCAGATTAGTCGCCCTTTTAGAAAATATAAAATTCCTTATGTGTCCTAGACACAAACAAAATTAGGAATTGGAATAGCAGAAACCAGAATGCAGGATACATTATGCTATCCATTTGTAAGGCTACCACTGGGCACAAATCTGCTGGTCTGGGTGCACCCAAAGCTATCCATTCTATGGCCATTCCCAAGTTTTTTTTGCACTTTAGCCTAATTAATAAACAGAAAGTTGGAGGTGGCTCGACAAATAAAACCACCTATGATTTTCAGTGGCTAAGATTACCAGGAATGGAAAAGTGTTTAACTTTCCCTTTTAGAACTTTCCTTGATTTTCTCCAATATTGATCTAATTGGGAAAGGCAAAATACTGCATTTGCACTGACAATGGCTAACATGTCCCAGCTCCTGGCTGGCTGGAATGCTGCAGCAGAGGAGAAAATCTACAGTATGTGCCTGCGCAGAGAAATATACTTGACACTGACAAGGGACCTTGCAATAATATGCCAACCTCCACCACACACACCCCCTTGTAATGAGGAGCTTTTTATTATTTCTACATGACAAAACATAACAGTACAGAAGGCTGCCATAGCCCGTTCGTAAAATGCACAGACTAGACTGAGCAGGGATATTCTCTGTAGAACAGATAAAATTGATCCTTGAAAATTAAAAGCTGGTTTTGGCTGCCCTTGCATTCTTGACCTGTGGCTAGATTCTACAGTGAAATCAGTTCCACTTGAGTAGACTCTGCCATAAGTGTCAATATGTGGCTGCGCTCAAAACTAAAGTTTATCTCTGAACTCAGCAGTGCCAGCAAGAATCAGTTCCATGCCCCTGTGCTCACGAAGCTAACAATATATCTCCAAACTATCCAGCTCTTTGGCCCAAAGGCTCTCTCACCATTCGAGTCCATAGGAAGGAGATTAACAGCATTGAGTACTTCAACATGCAGTTTTTGTTCTGAGTGGCGGTAAAAAGCTTTGATGGTCACAGCCCCATATTTTTCAGGGCTGGCCTCTTCCTAAGAGAAGAACAACCAGAGAAACTGTCAGGGAAAACGATGATGTGCTGTCCGAGATAAAAAGGGCAAAGAATTAAGGAAGCCAGAAGAAAAACTAAATCTATCCAAAACCAGGAAGTCTGATACCATTGCATTGTACAGTTTTATAACCGTTATTACTTGTCACTAATTAATTTACAAAATAAGTAAACCACATAATTTCCCATATTCACATGAAAGTTGATCACTGGATGGCTTAATCCCTCTCTGATCAACTGGTCATCAAAATGTTAAATTCCAACTTCCATTATTCATAGCCATCACAGACTAAGATAAGGGAATCTGACATCTGGAAGGCCCCATATTGCCCAAAATTCACTTTGCTCAAATAAGCATTTTTCCTTTTCTATATTAACTCATTTTATACAAAGCAATTTGTGCAAAATGCTTCTCTTTTGCACCACTATCCATTGGGTTTCGTTTCCATCCTGAGCAACAAGAAAAATTTAACTTATTTCCTACAAAAATATTTAACATTTGCTATGAATGATGTGGGTCCTTAAAAAAAAAAAGATTGATGAATCAAACAGCACTTTATATCCTGTGGCTCTTCAATATGGTGATCACATTTGAAGAAACCTGAAGCTCTGCTGTACCTCACATAGTAAGTACTTTCTGATAATAGTTTCTTCTGACCTGTACAACTAATTTTAGAAAAAAAATTGCAGCTATTTATATTTGCACATTTATGCATCTGCTCTGAACTTACCTGTTAACCTAAACTGCCCAATAACCATTTTTAAAATGCAAATGAGTTTCCATTTTTTGACATAGTCTTGTTAAACATATCTTCCTGATGAAAGTTATTTTCTAACATAGCAACCAATGCTTCCGTATTACTTTTACTTAATATTTACACCCAGGAACTTTTTAAAAAATAACCAAGGTGGGAAAAATGTATGCTAATGGACTTTCTTCAATGTTAGTGTTTGCCTCACTGTGAAATATGGTGGGAGCAAAATGCCCAAATTCCTTCTACCAGTACTCATGGCAGAATTTTTATCTCTAATGCTTCAGTATAGTAAACTTGAATAGGAAACAGTACAATTCTGCTAAAAGAAAAAAAAAATCTCTCATGGAAATCTCAAATAGCAGCTCTCCAGCCCTTGGTGATCCTGACCAACTCTAACACTTCAAATCTGAAGCTGTAAATCAGTGGTGGATAGCCTGAGATTCCAAGATCAATTGTAGTTCCTCAATCTCTGTGTGTGTGAGTGTGTGTGTGGCCCTGCTCTGAACATAATTCTGAAAATTGGAGACATGGCTTCCCACCAGTTAGAGGTAAGACATAAATGACAACCATTGTGTAAACTCGACAAGAGTTTGCAACATGTTTTAAAAGCAAACTACCCCCAACCTCCCTTACCAATCAGAGAAAGCAGGAAATCCTGGCCCAATTTCTATAATTAACTTATCCCCTTCCTAAAAAAATGTAAGTGCTGCCCCATTATCAAAAGGCTGCCCACCATGCTGTAAGTCAACAGTCGCAGCCTTCTCAACAACTGAACCCAAAAGAATAAGATGAGCAAAAGGAAGGAACAAACGAAAGGATAGTTCATCATATTATTAAACAGGATCAGTCCCACCTGCTGCTGGATTCGAGCACTGAAATACTTCTGAATAAGTTTTCTGCTGGTGGAGGAGCAAAGGTCCAATTCTTTCTCCAGAGCCTAGGAGAGAACTGGGTTTCAGCAGAAATACTAGCATGTGAATAAAATAAGTAACACATCAGTAAGAGAGACAAACAGAAGCTTTCCCAGTTAGGAGGTGCTGCTAGACCAGAGGCTTTTTACACTGTGGTATTGTTTGTCCATCATCAGCCGCAGGCGAGGTTGCCCTTGACTGCCTGGTGCTTTTGTATATAAGCAAATGATTGATAGAAAAAGGAGGAGGAGAGGAAGGTATTGTATAATATATACAGAGAGAGCAAAACTTAGTTGCAAAGAGTGTAGTCGAAGATGGCAAGGAACTGTTAAGAGACAGAGATAATGCAGAGTGATACTGGTGGAAATAAGCAGTTCTGAAAGGGAGTGAAAAGGGCTCATCAACGGCCTCCCGCAGAGTGAATGGAATTACAAATAGAAGTCCTGAAATGCTTTGGGATGAAACTGAAGTGAGAGACTTCTGGAAGGAATATTTCAGATATTTGCATGGGAATGATAGTAATAAGCCAAAGAGTAGAATAGAAATAAAAATACCAAAAGTGACAATGAGCAAAATTTGGGAAATGCAGTGCAGTTTTATGTCAGGCAGGGAATGTGCAGTTTGTTCTTCAGCAGATCATTGAGAGATTCATGAAAATGAGAAAATTATTTTGTATTTACTGATTTAGAGAAAATAGGCTTGAAATATGGAATGTTCTGCACAATTGTGGAGTTGAAGGTTAGTTACTAAATGCAATAAGAGCAATATACAATAGACATAAAGCATGCATGAGAATAAACACAATGCTTAGCTAATGGTTCAACACAGAAAAGATAGGAAAATCAAGGTGTGTGATCCCTTGGTTGTTTTATGTATTTATAGACAAATGCGTAAGGAATGCTTAAGGTGATATTAGATGTGCTGATTGAAGACATGACTGTGCGTGTACATTTATATGCAGACAATGCCATATTGTTGGCTGAGAACCCAAATGATTTGCAGTGAATGTTGCAAATGTAAAATGGAGTAGGGAGTATGAATCTGAAAATTAAAGTGTCGAAGACAAGGCAGTTAGATTTGGTATGGAAAATGAAGTGAACAATTGCAAGTTATACCCTGTATAAGAGTCTTGATGACTGAAGTGATAAAAAAGCACTCAAAATTAAATAAATAAATGGCAACCCCCTCCTAGAGCACATAAAGAAATTTGGGTTCCTCAGTAGAATGTTTGCTAAAAATGGGGGAAAGGATGGAGAAGTTTTAAGATGTGCAAATCATTGTAGAAAGGGGGACATATGTGGCCACATATGTTGTGAGGAGTGAATGTTTGTCAAAAGATGCAAAATTTATTCTGCTCACTTTGTTATATGAAAGTGAGAACTGATTATCAGGAGAAACATAAAAGTAACATGAATATTTAAGGGTATGTATGTGGTAAAACAAGAGGAGATAGGTTCAAGAATGAATGGGTGATGCACATTGAATACAAAAATGAGTGACCAGTACAGAAGTACAGGTAGTCCTTGTTTAGTGACCAGAGTTGGGACCAGCAACTTGGTCGTTATGCAGAGCGGTTGCTAAGTGAAACCATGACTGTGCTTATGATCTTACTTCAGCTGTCCTTTCCTTTACAGACTTGCGAAGGTCGTAAATGCAAGGATTGGTCATAGTTACTTATTCATCACCATCATAACTGCAAATGGTTGCTAAACGAGGCAGTTGCTAAACGAGGACTACATGTATGTTGAGGTGATTTGGTTACATAGAGAGAATGAATGAAGACTAAATTGCAGAACAAATATAGTATATGAACAAAGAGGGGATGGGTTAAAAGAAAGGGGAAGACTAAGAACATTGTGATTGGATAGAGTTGATGCAATCCTCAAAAAGAGAGGTAGGATGGCTGAAGAACACAAGATAATATATGAAACAGTATATAGACATGCTGGAAACAAGGATGACTTGCAAGGATAAAAATGTATGGAGAGGCAGAGTGAATAGTTTTGGTTTAAGCCAGATTTAGCTATATTTCCATTTCTATTCTATCTTTAATTTTGTTTGCTCATACTCCTTTTTTGTTCATTACATAACCCTGTTTACTCCAAAAGGGAACAGTATGATGGTAGGTATATACTTGCCCGTGGCAGTGGCATTCCATTCATGCATCTAAAGCAGGGTTTCCCAAAGTGGTCAGTATCAACCCCCAAGGGTCAGTGGGACTATCCAAGGTGTTGTTGTTGTTATTCATAGTACTATTAGGGTGGGGGTGTTGTTGTTGTTTCGGTGCTTTCAAGTCAGTATTGACTCCTGACGACTGCCCGGACAAGTCCCTCCAGTTTTCTTGGCAAGATTTCAGAAGTGGTTTGCTATTGCCTCCTTCCGAGGGCTGAGAAGGAGTGACTGGCTTAAGGCCACCCAGCTAGCTTCATGCCTAAGGCAGGCTAGAACTCACAGTCTCATGGTTTCCAGCCTGATGCCTTAACCACTACACCAGACTGGCTCTCTATTAGTTAAAGTACTATTTATTAAATTATTTTCATATAATAAATGTTTGGGGGTCAATGAACAATCTGAAACTTCATGAAGAAGTCAATGAGCTGAAGAATTTGGGGACCCCTGATCTAAAGTCATTTTGTCAGCATGTTTATGTTTAACAGTGTGAACTGAATACCTTGGCCTAATGATTTTGATAATTTCAGTCAATAGCTACAGGGGAATAGTATAAATGACCTCCCCACTCCATCCCCAGAAGATTACAACATCAATGCTATTAACTCTGGCTTAACGCTATTTAAGATGAAGTAGCATCTTCAAAAAGCACAAAAGCTTTCCTTCCACTTCATGTATGAACTGGATCCACAATCTCGATGGGATGGCAATATTCCCATCGCTGCAGACAGGGCAGCACGTGTGATGCCACATCACGGGTGGGCAACTTTTGTGTAAGCCAGAGCCTGCATTTTTAAAAAACATGTTCATGTCTGGCTAACAGCTGCAGTATTTGTGACCATTATGCACTAATGTTATGTGAGTAAGCAGGATGGAACGTTAATGCAGGGGGTTTGTTTGTGTGGAGTAGATAGGAAAAGTAGGTTATATTTTTTAAATGTATTTAGATGTGTGAAGCAAATGTTTGTGCATGCTTAGACTGCCTGTTGCTCAGAAGTTTTTCTGTAAAGCAGGCCTGCATAGCATGTGGCCTGCCAAGCAGCCTTGTGTGGCCCACTGGCATTTTTTCAAAAGTAATAAATTCACCACCACCATTGTTGCTCCCCGAAGACACACTGCTGAGCACCTCCAAGCCTCATCTAGCTAGTCACAGAACAGCTGATCGGCACACCAGGGATTCCTTTGGGGCCCACAACGATTTTTAATTTATCAATGTGGCCCTTTCCCCTCTACAAGTTGTGCAGGCCTGTTATAAGCGGCAAGGGCTGCAGTGACTTACTGTAAAGGCTGGTGTGTGAAGGGTGTCCTTCGACAGTCCACAGCCTTCTCCGTGAAAGCAGAGTTCCAAGCCCTACAGGAGAGGAGGAGAAAGAGAGAGAGAGAGAGACACCAACACAGCACTGAAGCATGCATAAGTCATACCCTTCCTCCTTGGTTTCACTTTACACCGCTAAGTACCTGGAGGGCAAATTGAAATCTCCTATAGTACTCCAATTTTCCAACTTGGTGTTTTGTAGCTTCTTTCAGCAAGTCTAAGGTATGATTCCACAGAAGCTTCAGAAGACTGTTTGGGAAGAGGAAAAGAAGTAGAGATGCACACCAGGTTGCTGGACAAGGCATTTTTAATAAGGCTCAGCAGAGACCAGTACATTTGACCCTGGGGTTGGACTGGGGGTGCTCGTATTAAGGATGCGTGGACCATCAATTTAACTTTTTTCCCATTTCTAACATTTAAAGATATGTCAATGTTGTTTTGTCTTGATTACCTGTTTTTCCATGTTTAAGTTCCATTTATCCCACTCTTGCCCTAGTTGAGCTACTTTCTGATTTGGGGGGGAATATATTTCTCCAAATAGATGACTTTTTGTTTTCAGTTTTACCTAATGAATGCAGATTTTGCAACGAGTGTTCTCATTTTTGTATAGTATTTTCATGAGTAAACTGCATTGCAACATTTAGAGAAGCATGACTTTAGAAGGATAGCTAAATTTCAGTGTACATTGGTTCAAAAATGTGATATCAAGCGTTTGCATTTAAAAGAAAACAAATTAAATTTCACCCCTCCTCTCTATTTCATACCCATTGACCCACCCACACCCTAACCTATATATACACAAATACACATGTAGATCCTCACATCACAGGATCTCATGAAGGATCAGTTAAGGAAGATAAGGCAGCAAGCCAGTCCAGTTCACCAATTTTCTGATTTCTAGAGATTTAAGAAAAAATCCATAGGACGACAATGCAGTACAACCAAAAGGCTGATATTACAAATTTTAAAATGCAAACTTTAAGTGTGCCATGAAAGAGCCTCAATTCTTCTAAACCCAAAGGAAAAGTAACAACAGCCCATGGAATAGGGACATTAATATTCAAAGGGCAAAATAAGATGCCAGTGCTTTATTTTAACAATTTACAATATTTATACCCCTCTTTTCCTCTATTTAATTCACAGCAAGTGCTAGTACCTAGCCAATTTTTGCTGTTCTCAGAAAGCCAAACGGGGCTAGACTTGGTTAGTACTTTTCCCTTTCAGTGGGAGACCACCAGGACATACCATGGCTCTAGGTTAGACTGAGAACTCAAGGAAACACATAGAAGAATGCAAGGGCACTCCTTCTTCCTTCCTTCCTTCCTTCCTTCCTTCCTTCCTTCCTTCCTTTATTTGCTTTATTGGATTTAGAGGATGCCCAATTCCCAAACAACTCTGGGTGACTGACATTTTAAAATTACATTAAAAGAAGGAATCAGAAAAATAAAAATAAACACCTATATCCAAAGACTTGGGGTTTTTTTGCCAAGGGAGTCAACAGTAGCTGGTCTCAACTCAAGGAAGATGTGTTTTTTTCAACTGAATTTAGAAAAAAACATGGTTTCATAGGAGTCACTGAAGCCCCTATTTCTTTTCCATTTTGCCTAATTTTGTTTCTCATCCATCAAGTCCTAAGTAGCCAGAGGGACAAGGATGCATATATAAAGAAGGGAACTTGTCAGAACATGTGATGAATGGCCATCACGTCCTAAGTAGCCACAATTAATGTCTTCTGCATCTAGGAGGCTTTCAGATCCTACCAATGATTTCTTGGTGTATTACCTGTCAATTTAGAAACCAAACATAGATTTCTCTTTCTCCCTCTTGTCCTTTGATCCTGGCAAGATCCTGGGCTGTTCCTCCTGTTTATCCTGACTTCCACAGCCTGGGTCTTTTATCTGTTGGACAGCCCTCAGTTGCTGTGGTTGGATCAGATGCTTTTCTCCTCTCTCCCCCAGCATTTGCTCTTCTTGAATGGCAGGCAAATTACATTTGATCTCTCTTTCATAGCATGGCAAGACATCTCTGCAAAACCCATTTTCCTCCTCTTGTTAATTCCTTTTAGTCTAGGAACACAACATGTGGTTCTGTTTGTGTACCTGGAATTTAGCTCTCATCATTTCTTGCCGCCAACCATGTTGTCTGGGGCTGGCTGGAGCAGGAGTTCAGCAACCACACATTGTTTTTTATCCAGCTGAATAAAAGATTCTCACAATGCCAGCATCCTGACTTTACCTGTTAAAGTTCTCCTGGACCAGGTTCCCGTTCAGATATTGAAGCTCATACTCCAAGAATCTCATTAAAGGCGTGATGCACTAGAAGGAGATGCAGAAAAAGATCCACAAAAACTAAGTGGAAGGAAATAACGTTATCAGCTATAAAACTATATTATTAAATGTGAAACTTTCAAGGAACATCCCACAAGACATACAAAGGGCTTGCTGCAGGTGAAGACCCACATTGCCAGCATAAAATGTTAATTATATGCTGATGCTGACCCAAATACATCCAGGATGCTTCCAGATCAGGATATTCATCAGTTATCCTACTGTAGAAGTCTACAGTCTTCAGTGGAAACCACCAACAAATATTTTTAAACCATTTTTAAATGGTTGTATTGTGGAACACTAACAGTGTGATTACTTTTCACAGACTCATGTGGAATATAGATTTCCCCAAATCTGGACTCTGTCAGTGCATTACCAGATTCTCCCTCATGTCTAACCTGATTCAAAGCAGGGAAGATAAAAGAGGAAAAATATGGGATGTATCACAATAATAATATTTTCATGGGGAAATGAATAAAAAAATAGATAAAGATAGGAGTAGCCTATTGGTTACTGTTATGGCTTTTTGTGAATCACCCAAAAGTAGTTATGTAGGAACAAAGCAAGAGAAAAAAGTGGTATATACTTAGCTCAACAGCTTGTTGTCTTAAAGCAAATTTGCTCTGGCATTCAAATACTCACATCCTCTGGATTGTTGGAGTCATTGGAAACAGACAATTCCTGGATGTGTTGGGCAATTCCAGCATCCAGCTGCCAAAAAACCCCACATGATTTTAATACCATTAAGGAGGAACACAATGTAAATATTAAAAGTTCAAAGCCATTCATATCTACATCATTTCAGGAATTCCATACTGCATCTTAGAGATTTTGTGGGAACATTTTGTTTGCAGTAGAGTCATAATCAAAATCTGAAACTGGGGTATTCGTATGTCACACTGTCCATATATTTAAGCTCCTTGAACTTTTAAGACAGAAAATGTGAGATTTCTCTCTGCTCTCTCCAGTGCCACTGTTCATCACATATACCATTACAAATAGAATTTATTCTATAGAAGCCAGTTTCATGTACAACAGGCTGGTGAATTCAACAACCTGTATAAAACATTCTAGTACTGTAAAGCCTAAAGATCTGTAATGAGTAAAGGACGGGAGTGGAATGGAGTATGGTAGGAAAAGGCATCATTGGCTGATTAACTCCTTAACTGATTAACTGCTCATTGTTAGCATTCTCTGCTTGTTAAGTGTTCAACAAGCAGAGAATGCTAACAATGAGCAGCTGTGGCTACTAGTAGTTAAAAAAAATGAAGCAGTCCTGCTATTTACTCTTTTACAAAGTGCCTTTTGTTTTGGACATTATTGTTTTTCCCATCATCTGTTATTCCAGTAGCACTGACCATACACTTTCCAGAGGCATAAGAACTCAATGGGCTTTGACTCTCTAGAGACAGAGTTTTCCTATAGGAAGTGGACCAAACAAATGTGGAATGGCCCTTCTCCACTGGACTTTCGCCATTTCTAATCACTGGAGTAAAAGAGGAAGACTAAGCCTGTGAGGTTACTTTGGTTGCCAGAGTCTGCATCACTCCTCGGATCTCATTGTTGAGGCAGGCAATGGAAGCCTGAAGCTGGTGGTGCAGCGTGTGCTGGATCTGCTCTGGAGTAATGACAGGTCCAGTGTTCCGTTCCAGGCGTGCCCAGTCCAGTTGTAGGGGCAACTTCAGGATCATCATCCGGAGCTGCTCAATGTTGTTCACCACAACACAGAGCTGGAGGATAGGAGGAAGGTAAACTCAAGTCAATCCATGTGTTCAACCTTGTTTCTTGTACCAAAAATCTGGCTCTACCACTTACCCTGTTTGCTGCTTGTCCTGCCTCATTTCGATTGGATGACAATTCCTCTGCCCTTTCTTTGATCATCCGACAGTACATCAGAGCAAGTTTACACATGTCCTAAGAAATCAGAAAAGAGAAAACTTTCACTGATCAGTCAATGCCATAGGTAGGCTTTACTGCATCCTCCAAAGACAGTTGATTGCCATTGCCCCCTACAATGTACAATGTGGTCAGGCACAGCTGACTCTTCTGTAAGGAAATATCAGTGACGACTGAGTCATGCAAATGGAATGTAGCAGGTTCTAAAGTTAGGGATCTAATCCTTTGCCACAATTCAGCCAGAATCTATTTTTTTCTCTAAGAAAATGAATTTATTTTTTGTTCTTCAGTGAGAAAGAAAGAAAAAAAGTGAAGGACAAAGAACAGAACATTTTGTTGTTGCGTGATTGGCACATTCCCTGAATATATTAAGGATCTTTAATTGCAGATAATGCCTATTATTTCTTCTCTGTGCAATACAGGGTTCCTGGAAGGAAGGCATATTATTAATATTGTAGAGTATTTTGAGCACAAACATAATATTCAATGGAATAGCACAATTTTTTGAAAGCATGGTAAATGGCATGTTAGTGAGATCTGGATTGCAAAACTCTAGACAAGCAGTAGATGGCAGCAAAAATACAGAAAAACTCTAAGTCTTCCTACTCTTTAATGTCTAGTGGTCATGCCCACTCTATCGGCTCTTGTGGGACAGGCAGAAATAACTGGAGACAAGCAGTTCTGCAAATAACCCAACTCTGTGCCATAAAGGGCTTTGTAGGTGAAAACCAGCACCTTGAATTGCACCTGGAAGACTTTATGAGAGCCAGTGTAGCTCACAAAGTAGTGGTGTTACATAGGCTTACAGAATTATACCCATAACTACCTATGTCACTATAATCAGGAACAGCTGCAGATTTGCAAGTAGTTTTCAAAGGCAGCCCTATGTAAAGCATATTACAGTAATCCAGACAGGAGATCACTAAGGTGTAAGTGACCACGAACAAGGCCTCCCAATCCAGGAAGAGATGCTATTGGTACACAAGTTGGATTTCTGTAAAGACACTCCTAGTCACAGCTTTCATCTGTTCTTCAGACATAAGTTGAGAGTCCAGAAGATCCTCCAATTTGCCCACCAGTTCCATCTGGGACCCGCTACCCCACCCAGAACTAATGATGGCAAGTATCCAGATCTGGGAAGCTCTAAAACCCACAGCCATTTGGCTTTGCTAGATTGAACCTAAACCTGTTCTCCTCATCCAGCCCCCATGGCTTCCAAACACTAGGCATCATCAGCATACTAACCCTGCACCAATGAATGATCTCACCCAGCAGCTTCATGTAGGTGTTAAATAGGAGGGAAAAGAGTACAGCCTAAAGGATCCCACAAAGCAGGGGCTTGGGACTAGAACCTGCCCCCCCCCCCACAAGACTAACTGGAATTGACTCTGAAAGGAGGAGGAGAACCACCTCAATGCTCCAGAAAGATACCATGATTGATGGTATAAAAAGCTGATCAGAGATAAAGAAGAGCCAAGATAGATATATACCACCATCCCAGTCCTGCAGGGATGATCCACAAGTGCTATCAATGCCATTTAAGCATTATACCCAAATCTGAAACCTGACAGAAAGGGATCCAGATAATCCACTTTATCCAGAGCCTTCTGTACCTTTGGCTCAACCACCTTCCTCCTGTTGGAGACAGGATGACAATTGTCCAATACCACTGGGTCAAGTGATAGCTTCTAGAGGAAGGGACCACCTCTTCCTTAAGTGCAGGCAAAACTACTCTTTCATTCTGGATGAATTTATCTCCACCTGGACGAAACTGTACATTGTCTCTTGGGAGGTCTTGACCAACCAGGAGAGACATGAATTTGATACAGAGGTGGTCACGCTTACAGCCACCTTTTCAACTTCCCATGTAGTCTACAACCCTAACATTTCCAGGTGATCTCATCTATGCAAATTGCTTTAAAAAATTGCATGGCATATTGTATTTGTACAATCTACAGCTCTTCAGTGTTATTTTTTATGCTGATTTTTCCTTAAACAATTGTAAATTAATATAAAAGTGAGATAAAATTGACTTTTGGCACAGATGAGAATGATCTGACCTTCTTTATTCACATAAATACACATACCTCAACAAATTTCACCATGATCATAAAGGCCTCTTCAGGATCAGGCCAATCCAATTGTTGCCAGGTCTTCACCATCTGAGCATAACAAGTGGATAGGTCAACGGTGGACGTACTGTGTTTATTCAGTTCTCCCAGTGGTGTCAACTGAATAGAAATGAAAGCAGAGAAAGGGAGCAACATCATATTATTAGGGTCAGAATTTAATCTTAAATGTTACAGAGGGTCTTTTGGTTTGGTTTGGGGTTTTTTGGACCCTAAATAGCCTAGACAGAAAATGGGATTTTAACCTCTGAATGTCCTTTCTTCCAATTACTTGACCCAAATCATCATATCTACTATTTGTTCAGTGCATGAAGCAATTAGACATTTGGGGTATTTGGTTTTGTTTTTTCAGAAATTGTGTTGCACAGCAACTCTGAGCAGAAATGCCCTGAAAGGGTAATACCTCTGCTGCAAAGGCCTCCAGTGCAATCATGGGAAAAGCTTTCTGAGATGTAGGAGTATCATTTACAGTATTCTCAAGGATAGTAAGAACCCAAAAAGGTGTTTTGGAAGTGTGCCGGAGGCAGCTCTAGATCCCCAAAGTGTACTAGCCTGAAATTGGTACAGTTTGTTTTCTTCTCAGTGGATTTCAATGGGAGGAAAAAGATCAAGAAAATAAATTTTATTCTAGAAAATGTTGAAAACCATTTCTGTTTCCTTGTCTCTGTCTCTCACGCGCGCACACATACTTCCTGCACTCCCCATTGTTAGGGTTCTGCATTTTTGCCTTTCTCCCAGGACCTTAAGATTTTTCTCTGCACGTTTTGTGCCTTCTACTAGTATATATTATACACTTTGTCATTTTTTTTGCTGTTTGAAAACCCCCAAGGTACAAGGATAGAAACAATAATTGACAATTATCTGTGTTGAGCAACATTTAAAAATATACATATAAGAATGAACACCATTTCTCCTATCCAAAGTAGCACTGTGTCTTTATCTGAATGATGTAGGCATCATGAAAACTTTATGAAATTATGAGTCTTTTAGAAACTTGTGTCTTCTATGTGAGCACAGCAACCAGTGCAATGGATCTGATGTAAGCTCAATGGATCTTACATTGGACCTTACAATGGATCTTACATGGATCTGATGTAAATTCAAATTGCTGAATCCATTGCCGGATAATTATTCAGATTCAGATAATTCCAGAATTGCCAACCACAGGTGTCAGATTGGGTTAAACTGTGTCAGCTAATCATTCGTGTTACACACACCTGCTTCTCTGCAAAAATTATATGCCACAATGTAATTCACAATTTCCATTTTGTTAACCCACAGGCAGAATTAAGTGATGGTGGGATCAGAGATTGATATGATGGTGCTACATAATATACATCAACCATTAAGTGTGTGAAGATAAGAAAAATCTCAGCAAGGAAAAACAGGGAAGAAAAAACAATTGAGCAATGCTTTCCTTTCTGGGTGGGATTACCTGGTCCACTTGGATGGCTCTTTGGGTCCTTTCTAGAGCTATTGTGTATGTCTTCTGAAGCCACAAGGGGATGGCTTCCTTAAACCATAGGTGGAAACCTGTCAGTGCGAGAGGGGCTTCTCTGGAAATAGAAAATAAAAGTGGTTTGTATGTCTCATGGGAAACTAGTCCTTTTAATGTCCCAGTCATTCAACTTAGTTTTGCTCTAGGAATTATTTTTATCCTGGTAACCAATCACAAACTTGTCTCAACAGACCCTCATTGGTTATAAACACTCAACCATACACCTACAAAAGAGTTCACACATCATGCTAAACAATTGCTTAACAGTATTTTACTGAAGGAATCATAATTAGGTTATGCAACACACTAAGCCTAAACTAGCTTGCAAATCGCACTAAGTCAAAAGCAAACAAACCACTTTTTGTCAGTGAAGCATGCAAACCAGGCTATAGTTTCAGCAGTGGAGATTCAATGATCATAACAACATAAGAGTAATCTCAACAGACAACCATAACATATACAACTGCCTAAATGCTGAAAGCAAAGTGTTGTCCTCTGCAGAGATAAACACCTGCTGCACACAAAATCCTTCATGTGATAGAATTCCTTCATGCTGAGATAAAGCTGGAAAAGGCTCTCTGCTGTCAACTGGGACATGCCACTGTCAATCTTGCTCAGCTGCTCCTTGACATAACAAGAAACCTGCAGAAGCATAACAGAACTACAATGGATCAAGATTTTGGACTGGACATTATACACTCACATGTCTGACTGATACATTGAAACTGAATCAGAAAGATCCTGCTAATTGGTCCTAAGTTGAAATCTGAACAAAACTGGCTCAGGAACAAGTTTCATCATTAAAGTGAAACTGATGAATCCTCATTAGAGTGGCTAATTCAAACCAGAGTTCCTGTTCTTTTCCTCAATTGGGAGTACTCCAGATATATGGACTTAGCTCCTAGAACTCTTCAGCCAATATAACCATCACTGAGAATTCTGTAAGTCCACACATCTGGAGGGCACCAAGATTTTGGGAAGGCTACCTTAGAAATTCTGAAGTAGCTGGCTTATTCTTCCACTAGACATTTCCCCAGTATTTTCTGCCTTGTTATGGGATATACTTCTGGTGTCCTCTTTGATACAAAGCAGTGAAACAGCTACTCACCATTTCCTGCATTTCAAGATATGCAATTGAGAAGAGATCTACTCTCATGGTGCTACATTGGAGGAAGAAGGAGAAAGATGTGATCAGAAATTTGCTCATGAGTTTTATCTGCTAGGCTTATTGTTGTATATTAAAGCTAATAGTGCTCATTTAAATGATGCATCTACACAGAACAGATCAGCAACTATAGCAGCCCAGAGGCAACCCAAAAACAGCCCTCTCAGTATTGTTAGCTGGAATCCCATAATGGCTAACAAGGAAGACAACCAGGAAGCTGAAACTTGGACTTGCTGACAAGCCTACTTGGAAGGATAAGAAGAGACCCTGGAGATTTCTCTCCTTAATGCCTTCATCAATAACCCTCCCATAAAAATAGTTGCTGAGCAGGGATGTACAGTGACAATAGTCTCTAATCAACCACAAGAAAATTTCTAGTAAGGTAAATAATGCACAGAGGTCTAACCTAGCCAATTTTATTATGATTTATTTCTTTTAGCCAACAGGCACATGTACTAAAATGTGCACTCATTTAAATAACTGATACACATACACAACGTCCAAGTCTTCTGGGAAGAACTAGCAAGCAACCATATCATTGTAGTGGAATTTTGTACTTGCTAAGCTTGTTGCCCTATCACTTCTGTGATCTGGGCTCAACCATTCACTTTGGTAACCAGTTTGCGTGGCCTTAGAAGCTACATAAGCATTTGAAGAAGTAGTTTGTGACCAATTGACAAAAGCTGGGAGGGAAAAAATCACATTCCTTCAGGGACTTGCCTGATGAAATATTTGTTCCAGGTTTTGTGACACTGTTGGAGATCTGTATTCACCTCCAGAAGAAGACAGACCAGAGCTTTGCCACATTCCTCCGTAGTCTATGTATAGAAAAAAGAGAAACATGGGTCGAGATCTAGCATAAGCTTTATTTCTCCTAGAAACTAAGACACTTTCAGACTAATGAATTTCTCCTATGACTTCCGCACTATCATCTCCAGGGCAAGAAGTTGTTTCTTCACTCTTCTGCTACTTGTTGTTTGTTGCCATTGCTCAGGTGGTACTTCTTAGTGTTAGAAAAGTTGGCTTAACTTACTCAGTGGTATCCTGAGCAGTACAAACTGCTTTTCCATGTTACAGAAGAATCTAGTTTAAAAAGTGTAGTTCTCAGTGTCAGTTGACATCATTCTGACATAACTTTAAACATCATGTTCTGAGAAAGGTAGGAAGGGCAAGAATCCTGAAAGCTGTCAAGAATAAGAGACCTATGTGGTAATGGAGGGTGCTGGTTAGCACCTAATTACCTGGTTCCTCTACTGATTAAATAACCAAGAAATGCTACTGTGGAACTTCAAGCAAGCAACTGCCATGAGACTACCAAGACAAACTGCAGGGTTAATTTTTACACTGTATTGCTTAATTCTCTTGCCTCTGTCTTTTTCTCTGTTATTGGCACTAGGAATAATATGCTATTCTACATGCAAGGGACTGATATTCCAATTAATTATTCTATTATTTTATAATACATTAGTGATAAAATAAAGCTTCTATCGTTTAGTTTTCAGAGTTGCTTTCCAATCATTTTCTCCCTATTTTGAAACAACTACAGTATTTCTCTCCTTTTTGTGGGAATAGAGTTCAGGATCTGCTGAGTATGCATCAGAGCTCTGGGAAAAATCTATACAGTTGCATGTTCATGATAACGTGTTCACATGCATTTATGAGGGGGACACAAGTTCCAGTTACATGCTCATTTTGACAAATATAATTCCTTATCTAAGGCCAAGCTGCTGCCATATCTGTGTGTTTGAGAGGAAAATACTGTTGCAGGCTGTATCCAAAGTTGTGCAGATTAATATGATAGATTGAACAGATACAGAATATAATACAGGAGTATTTTTATCCTGGCTGGGCTAGGAGAAGTTTTGCAAACACTAATGACTTGCCCTTCTAGAATCAATAGGAAACACAATTGAAGAAGATCCCAACATACTCTACAAGGATGCAATTAAGACTTACCTTTACCATCGGCTTCAAGTGTTGCTTCTTCATGTGAAACCACTCTGCTGTTCCAGCCTGAGAAAATAGGCAAGAGAATGAAGAGTTCCACAAGAGCCCTCCACATGCTTCCATTTATTAAAACACACACACCACAAAGGCAGACATTGGTCACATCTGGATATGTATGGAATATATAACTTGACAGAGGTCCAAGGGTGGAAGGTCTGAGATCACAGTTAAACCTTTGTGCCTTTGAGCCTTCTGTGAAACAGAATCTGTAGCTGAAGAAAAGCGGAACTGTACATTTCTCCATAAAGTGAACATGTATAAATCCAGGTGATGAATTTTGACAAGGAAACAGAATCAAAACTGTTTCTTTTTACCCGTCCCTGGTGAAGGAGACCACATTAAAATCTTCAAGGCCTCAGAAATACTAAGAGCAAAATCTGTAGGCCTGAGACATCACAAAACATCACGAGATGCCTTTTTACCTTAAGTGCCTCTGTGACCATTTCTTCAAGATCAGGAGTCAGAGTACAAAGTTCTTTGAAGGCTTTCATTTTACACATCTGAACTAAAACCCTGTGAAAATGAAAAATCATGGCTGAGATCTGATGCAATTGGGAGAAAAGTTTTGTTTCTCTCTTCCATGACCCACATGCAAAAGTTGCCACCACTTCTCTTTTAATCAGTCTCAGATGCAAAATATCCTGAATCCATTCACTGGCAACTCTAGAGAGAGCTGAGAAGAAGAAAAAAGACATCTAAAGACCTCAACAGTTGCTGCTAATCAGTATAGACAATACTGTACTAAGAAATATCAGTATCCCCCTATAAAGCAGCTTCCTATGTTCCTGTTAACCCCAACATTGTCATGCAATCCCTTTCTTTAGGATGTATTATAAAGAGATCAGGCAGCAGCCTGTTCCAACAATAAGCCATGATCTCCAGAGACATGGAGGTCAGTATTTGTCAGCCCTTACAACATAGACCAAACTAAGAAACCAATACTGTGTAGGTCAGGACTACTTTTCTTGTAACCGCTATAGTAACAGAATCTTGCAAGTCTGAATGTGCTTCCCCCCTCCCTCACTTTATCTTTGTGTGAACTGGGAGAGGCTTGTCTGAGAGATTTCTCAAGTTATTTTCTTGGCCTGGGCTCAAGACTCACTTATCTGACCATTGCCTTAGTTGTGGTTCTTCCTCCTGTCCTTCAAGGCCATTCCCTCTTTCCTCTACAGTATTATAGTAGCTCTGGTCTTTTCTGTAGGAACACTTCCAGGAAGCACTGCTGAGAGATTTTTGCTTTACCTCATGGCTACTGATGTCCTTCAGGCTTCTCTCTTTTCCTGATGCTTTTTAAACTCCAGGAAAGATTAGGCTCTTTCTCTTTTCATCTTCTAGTCTCACAGAACTGACATATGCATTTTAAAGTGATTTTTGGAAGGACAGGGATGAACAAACTTGAATTTCATTCAGACAAGACAGAGGTACTATTCATTGGGAAGACTGATAATATGGCTGGAGATTTAGAGATGATCTTGGATAGAATAGCAAAATCCAGACAAATAAGGCTAGTGCTTTGTTTTGTGGCATGCTTGCTTTCTGTTCACTGTTTCCATTAAAATAACAAAAAAAGAAAATAAAACTAGGCACAGCAGTGATCTTGGCGATCCCAAGGGATGGGTCAACAGCAGGTACATTTCTGTCTCTGGACACCATTTGGGGGAATCAGGGCATAAACTACGAGCTTTGGTTCATGAAAGCTTCTATCATAATGAATGCATTAGGCTTACACCACCAACAAATTCTTTCACGTTGTTATGTGAAAGAAATATGGTGTCAGTATATTGAATGTAAATCATATTGTACAAGGTAATTTGTGGCCACTTAATTGAACAGTAATGCTAGTGAGAGAATATCTATACTTGAAGAACGTTGGTAGTTTTCCTTCTATCTCTGTGCATCAGAGAAGGTTTCTGACAGCTTACCTGAGCAGTGACTGCAGCCTCTGGGTAGATTTGGGTGAGGAGAGTGGGAAGACGATCCTGTACCTTTGAAGAAGAGAAATCCCATAGTTCAGCAAGGACCGGAAAGAGTCCGCCAGCTCAACTGTCTGCAGGAAGTAATCAAACATGCCATAGATGTAAGAAGGAAGACTTAGTTAGACAGTTTCTAACTGCACTGGAATGTTCTACCAGCCCTATAGTTCCACAGCTCTTCCTTTCTTACCTGCTCAGATCGTAATCGGCCTTGAATCCACTGATATTCTATGCTGGTGATCTGATGGAGCAGGCAGTTGCTGTTGAACTCCAGGATCTGGTACAGCTTACTGTAAGCCAACCAGTGCCTGTGTTAACAAGGGAAGAAAAGCCGCATTAAATGCCAAAAGAAATACCTGGAAAAAGTACAATTAGAAACAAAAATATCTCACATTAACTGACCTGAACAAATTACATAGATTAGATATCTAGACAAACTGGCTGGTTTTGCCAGTTTCTTGTGAAAGATTTGTTTGTTTATATGTATACTGCAGAAATAGAAGTTAAATACAGCAGAAATTGTAGCATGATGGAGAAGATCATGCAGTTCTTGGCAAAGTCCATTGCAGGAATCACATTTAATAGGCAGGATGTGGTAATGAATCAAGGAAATCCCAGTTGAAAAAGAAAAGCCAAAATTATTGAATTAATGAATAGAATTCTAGGGTTAATATTAAGCCCTGGTCTCATGGCTTAAATTACAACACTCTCAGGCAATAGAAAAAAAACTGTCACAACTTTTTTTTAAGGGGGGATAGAAAGTACCAAGAACTTTTGGTTTCTAAAACGTTGCTTTGGCTGGAAGCATGCAGGAGATACTTACGCCATGTCTTGGTGGAAATCCGAAATGTCTTTCTGAGTAGCATGTAGATATAGGATTGTACTGGCATCTTTGCTTAACTCTCCATCCCAGGAAGTGCTGCCAGCCTGCAGTGAAAGAACACAATGAATAGTTCTCTATGGTATCAGGTGGGGGAAAATGCAGCACGTCCATTACTTCGCAGTTTTGCAAATAACAATCAGCTGTACTATGTCCAGGTCTTTCATTCCATTTACCTAGCATTTGCTACTGAATAAAGAATTAATGGCTCCACTTCAGCTTGGAGGAAAGTATCCAGTGGAGGGAGTTGAGGGGATGCTTATCATGTTTACAGATGACAGAAAGCTGGGAGGGATGACTGATACTTTAGAGGAAAGAGAGAAGATTCAGTAGGATGTGGATAGGTTAGTACAGTAGGCAGAAATGAATGGGATGCAGTTTAACAGATAGAAATATAAAGTCTGCCATCTCTGCAGGAAAAATGAAAGGCAGAGGCGTAGGATGGGAGAGACCTGGATTGGCAGTAGTACAGTTAAATATGAGCCAGCTGTTTGATGCAGCTTTTAAAAAGGCAACTGCTACTTGGGGTGCATTAACAGGAGCATAGACGTGAGCTCACAGGAGGTAAGTCACTCTACTCTGGCTCATTCCGTTTCCACTTGGAATAGTGTGTCCAGTTCTCTGCACCAAAAAGGATAGTGACAAACTGGAGCAAGTTCAGAGGAGAGCTGCTCAAATGGTGAAGGGCCTGGAACCAGCCCTATGATGAACCGTTAAAGGATCCAAGTATATTTAGCCTACGGAAAGGTTACTAAGGGGAGATATGATAGGAATCTTATGCTGTAACAAAGAAGAGGGAGTAGACTTATTTTTTTCCCCCAGGGGACAGGCCCAGAACAAGGATCTGGGTATTTAGCCTACAGAAGAGACACCTGAAAGGAGATATGAAAGGTGTTTTCAAATATCTTAAGATTAACACAGAAGGAGTGGACTTATTTCTCTACTGCCCCAGAGAGCAGGACCAGAACCAATAGGTTAAAACTACACGGGAAGAAGATTCAAGCTGAATGTCTGGAGGCATGAGCTCTCAGTCAGCAGAACAGACTGCCAGATGAAGTGGTGAATTCTCATTCTCTGAAGGCCTTCTTACAAAGGCTGGACGGTCTTCTGTCAGAGGTGTTCTAGTGGAACCTTCACTGAACAGTGTGTTGGACTAGATAGCCCCTAAGATACCTTCCAACTCTATGAATCTATGGTTCCCAGAATAGGACAGCAAGCAATACATGCCCTCTGCATAAAAGCAATTCAATCACTCCCAAGAAAGCCATTTGGGTTCAAATAAGAAAGATCTATCATGCCATTCCAAGATAGCAGGACTCTACTTTGCAACTGGTCATCCATGGAACACATACAACTTCATCACCTCACAGCAAAGTTTCTATCTTTTAGATTTATTAATCAATTTACAGCCATGAGGTTCTGCCATGAGTCTCCCTGAGATTTTATCTGGGGGCAGAGCTTGTGCTTCAAACCAAATTTGTATCTTGACTTCAGAGAAGAGCTGAAAAGAGCAAACAAATCAGCTGAACTGAATGCATTATGGAGTTCAGTTGTCTTCCAGAGAAAAGCTGAATATATGTCTCTCTATCATATTTCACTTAGCAGTTTCTTTGTTCATCTATTTACCTGGTACTGAAGAATCTCATATGAAACAATCTGCTGAAGAAGTTGGCGATGAACTGTGTAACTTGGCTGTGTCTTGCTGGCTAAGGTAGCTCTCTAAAATTAAAAAAAATGACACCGATCCAGCTTTTAGAAAATATAGAGGAATTTCTGCCAATAAGTCTCATCCTTACATATACATCCATGTTCACAATATCAGAGAACCTTAGAAATGGTCTATATTTGAACATTTAAGCATACTAACAATAAGCTCTTGATGCATTAATGCATGCTTTAAGTGCTATTGCAAGATTCATTATATTTATCTTTCTCCAAACATAAGCCAAGGTGGGGTACCAATCCCTAAGTCAAACCTTTTATCAATACAATTTTAATTGCCTGTTAAAGTAATAAAATATAACATCACAACCCCAATTTAGAATGTCTGACTGTCTTCTGAAAGAGAAGTGTCTTCACCTACTTTTACAAGGAAACCCAAATCAACCTTGTGGGAGGAAGAGTTTCTCAACCATATCATTACAAGAGAAAAAGGTCCTGTCCTTTCTAAACGATAGGCCCACCTTGTCTCAAAGACTGCAGTAAATGAAGGCAACCATATAGAATAGGTCTTAAAAGTTTAAATGAATAACAAAAGCTGTTTAAATAAAAATTTACAAAGAACACTTCCTTTACCCCAATGGGAAATTGATTCCTGTTTCCCCTACCTTCTTATGTACCAAAAGAAACTGCAGATGGCAATGCCCTCGGTTGGGATAAGTGTCAGTGCGAGGTTCCAGCCTGTACCAGCGATCATCCCGACAATGCAGGTCCTACACAAACAAGGTGAAAGTCTTAACTCAGAAATAATCAGTTGAACCACATTACTTCCTGAAGGTGCAGTTTCTCCACTTCTACTACATTTCCATGAAATGGATCTCCTTTCATCCTAGAAATGCAGTGTCTTAAAAAATTATGAAATTGGGCAAGCAAGAGAAAGTGCTCAAATGGATCCACCTATTTCATCTCACTGTATTGTAGCTGAATTTCAGTGCAAGTACAGTGCAAGAATTAATGGCTTAATGGGAACATTCTTCTGCTCTCAATTACACTAATGGATGACTCATAAAAACAGATGGATGTGGTGAAGCCCCCACTTCCTGAGAAAGTTCTGCAGAAATCTTCCTTGGCGACAAGCATAGCTTTGTGGTTTCCAGATTGCTCCCGAACAGCATCCCCAACTTATTGCCTTCCAGATGTATTGAACCAACTCCAAAATTCTGATGCTCGCTGGGAATTGTGGGACTTGGAGTCCAAGACATCTGTACAACAACAGCCTAGGAATGATCGATCTGTTCCTGAATTAGGGTGTACCTGGCATCACTGCAGGTCTTTATAGAGCCAATTAAGTTCTCATAAACCCTGGCCTACCACCCCAGAGACTACTATAAAAATTGACGCTGAGGCCTGAAAAATAGGCCTCTTCATTATTTTTCTGATTATTACAGCAAAATCTATAGTTCTCTTACAGCATTTTCTTTGGGCCTAGTGTTTGAAAAAGGAGTCTCAGATTTATTAGAGCAAGGTGACTTACTTTGCTATCTACTTTCTTCATGGTCATACAAAAGCCACACTTCACTTGAAATTTCAGTTTATCTTTTTACTTAGTGGCATTTATGTTGCTGTCTACATCAGAGAAGATAGACCACAGCTAAAGAAAGACCAATCTGTCCAAGATCGGGGGGGGGGGGATGTCCCCAAGCATCATTCTGGTAACATGCTATTCCCTTCCTCACCTGCAGACGAATGACCACATTCCCCAGGAAATCATCCTGTCCTTTATTTTTCCGAGCTTCCTTAATAATCCTGAGTAGGAAAAAGTAAAACCAGGACAAAGTTGATAGAATATTTCTCATGTACCAAAGAGAAACAGAATATGCTGCATTCTTTAAATATTTTGTTTAGTCTCATCTGCTGAATTATGTAAACAGAATTTCACATACAAAAGGCTCATTATTAGCACAAACCTCTTCAGGCCATGGAGGTCACTCAGTTCTCCCAGTTTGTGCCGTACAGTTTCAACATCATCAAAATCCCTATAAGAAAGCCAAATAAAAATATGCATTGATGCTCCTTTTCAAGACCTCTGGGAAACAAACAAACAAAGGAATCAAAGCAAGAAGAGCAATTGATTGTTTGATTATGTGCCATGAGGTGGGGGTTGACTCTCAGAAGCCACATAGATACACCTTCTCCAAGACAATCTCTCCCCAACCTGGCACTTAAAATCTTCCAGTGGTGGAGAAGACCAATACCTGGGCTCAAAATAACCTGTTCTTATTTTGCTTACTTAGGGGAGACTTCAACCCATCAAGGATGTTTGAAGGTGTACAATTTGCAACCCATAATCTCCCCACCCTTTTGATCTTCACCCTTAGATCTTCTGAGTAATTTTCAAAAACTGACAGCACAGTTCCTTGTTATTTTGAGATGGGAAACACACGAAAACTATCGTTTACATACCACAAAAACAGCCCCCCCTCCCCCACAACCACTACTTCACTTATATCTGTGATGGCCTCACTCACTTTGTGGCCATTAGCCTTTTGGTGGCACATTAAAGGAGCCACCAAAAGTTCATCTAGTTTGAAGGCACAAAAGTAGTTGCCTTAAGAACATTCTTGTTTTAGATGCAGCATGAAAGAAATATAGTGAGAGATTCCTGTTACTCAGAAAAGGATTTATTCATATTAAGCATATTTTTGGAGATGATGGCCAGTTGTGGGGAGCCATAATGTTTGATTTGAGTCTGCCACAGAACGAAATAACAAAGCAGCCACTGTGATCTGAAAACTATGGTTTATATATATATTTTTATCTTGTGCAAATCATTAAACAAGGTAGGGAAAGAATTCAGAGCGTGGCTTCTGAAATTCTTTCTAACCTCTTCAAAAGGGCCATATGCTTGTTGCGCGTGCATGTACTGGAAGCTCAGGCAGGCTGCATGTGCTCCACGCTGGTCACCCCTAGGTGGTCTGCTGCTCCCCCCTCTTTGTGTTAGTCTGTGTTTGCCTGACAAATCTATCTCCTTTCTGGCTTAATTTGGAATGTTTGTTCTCAAATTTTAATGGAATACAATCAAATTCAGTAGGAATGAAGAGCCAATTCTGCTTACCACATATCTAGATGGAATTGGGTATTTTCTGCATCTTCAAACTCCCTGGAAGAAACAAATAAAAAGTATAACTGATGCAAGGGAACACTGGAGTGGGAAGGTGCACACAATGCCCTTGCCTTCATGAATAGATAAAATGGAGCTAGACCCACCTGCCCTCACATGCCCCCCATTCACTGAGCCAATGTAAAAAAACTACATCTGCATACAGACATACATCAGGATCCTTTCCTGCTAACTGATGATAAATGTGCATCTGGGTGGAAGGTGAAGCTGTTGTTGTTGTTGTTTAGTCGTTAAGTCGTGTCCGACTCTTCGTGACCCCATGAACCATATTGCGCCAGGCCTTCCTGTCCTTCACTGCCTCCCTGAGTTTGCTCAGTTTCATGCTCATTGCTTCAGTGATGCTATCTAACCATCTCATCCTCTGCCGTCCTCTTCTTCTTTTGCCTTCAATCTTTCCCAGCATCAGGGTCTTCTCCAAAGAGATCTCTCTTCGCATTAGGTGACCAAAATATCTGAGCTTGAGCTTCATTATCGATCCTTCCAATGAGCAATCAGGGTTGATTTCCTTTAAGATTGACTGGTGATCCATGAAGGGGCTGAGCCACTTAGAAATGCCTAATCCGATTAAACTGCTTCAAAACCAAACAAAACTT